ATAAATAAACAATTGAAACCCTACCCAGCTTTGCAATTGGGAATTTTCCTCTCCTTTGTTTTTTAGGAAAACTAATGAAAAAGACTTGAAAACTTTGAGTTTTAACAATTTACCAAAATTGATTTTTTAGTGTAAAAATATGATTTTTTGTTAAAATGAATAGTACCAAGAGTTTTTCGTTAAAGTTTTCTTGTTTTTGCAGTCCAACTTCTTTTTGTAACCCTTGTTGCAACAAGTACATAAAAATATGGTTTACGTAACCAGAATCAAAATAAGAAGAATTGAATTGATGAGGAATTGAAATGAAGAGGAATCAGAATCGGATTCATGTTGAAGTTGTTTACTCAAATATTCTGGATTGGAATAAAAATAGTACTAAATTCATATAAGTTGTTTACTAATTCACCTTAATCGGAATGAAAATCAATATGATTACTATAATGCCCTTCTTCAAAAAAATTAAATTTGCATACAAATTTATTAGAAAATCTCTGCAAATCTCATGATTCCCTGCTTCCCTTGGAAGTTCCAGTGCTCTTCACTAGAGCCACGATTCTCTTTTCTTCCTCGAGGAGACCGATGGTATCAATAATGCCCTTATTCAAACCCGGTTGAATAGAACACTCCTCTCTCCATGCAATTTTTCGTATCTTTTATCCCTGCCCTCACCTCCATCTTCCCCACTCACCCTACCCTATAGCCACCACCTCTTATCCCTGCAAAGTATTTAATAATTTTTTGGGTTTTTGAGTGGTTGCTTCTCCGCTTCTGTGGGTTTCGGTCTGGTTTGAATTGTATATTTTCAGGATTTGGGTGATTGATTTTTGAATCCGGCTTTGGGATACGTGGATAGGGTTCTTGAGCTGGTGGGTTGGGTAGTGAAGGTCGCATAGGGGTAAGTTGATGGGTTGGGTGGTGAAGGTCGTACGGGGAGGTGGAACTGGAAGGTGAGGTGTGCCACATGAAGGGAGAGTGCGCAAGGAGCAGAAGAGAGCAGTGAGTTGAGTGGTAGACTTGAAATTATAAAAATAATCAGAGGGCATAATAGGTAGGACAAATACATTCCCATTACCTCACTCTCCCGGAACTCAAATACCACATCCATATAGGAAGTTCAATTCCTCTAATTTGGAGAGTTGGATTCCCTCTTTCGTATGGGCCTCACCATACTTTAGTAAACAGTTCAATACCCCGTAATCAGAATCAACTTCTTGTTTTAATTCCGATTACGGGCGCTAAACACTTAGTGAGTAGATGAGGTTGGTCCTCACCATTTAATGCCTCTTGGGTTCCAGATCTGGAGGTATTCAAAGCTTTACCTACCCATTTATGTCTTTTAGGTGGGTGAGGGTTTAGATGCCGCCTACCCCATTTATGTCTGGGTATGTTGCAGGGGGTGCAGTGAGAGTGAAATTGGGTGGTTGGGTTGGTCTGAAAGCAGACGGCAAACCGTACGGACTCTCACGGAGGAGAGAAAGACACTCACAGCGGAGGACTCTCACGGAGAATAGAATTACCTTGCTTCTCTATTTGCTAAAAGGGCTCGAAGACCTTTGAAGCCATGTTTTTGAAACTATGCTGCCGGAGATCGGTTAATACCCTCAGCCTGGAAAAGACGAAAGCCGCAAATAGATATATGAACATTGTAATTTTATTTTTTTTACTAAGCGACACTCATATAAAGTTAGGTGAGACATTTAGGCCAATGATCTGCTATATTAATTATTATTGATTATAAAGCAATTGGGACATGAAAATGAAAACCCAGATTTCCTTTTCTCTCAGCAATATATTCGGTATTATCTTCTTCCATATTAATTTTACGAGCAAATTATATTTTACACTCTTAGGTTTAGATGTAATTGTAACTTCTTACAACGTCCTTAACCATTGATTTCATTGCCCTCTGATTTCTGGAATGGATTTTCTGGGATTTAAAAGCCTCAGAGAGAGAACGGAAGAGACAATGTGGAGTAGCTTAAATGGGTTATTTCTATTGATCATTATGTCATGTGTTGGGCTATAGTTGCAGAGAAAACAAACATGCACTGAGACTTGCCTTGAGTCGCGCCGATGGATGGGTTGGGGACTGGGTTCTTGAGAAGATGAAAATTTTGTGTAAGGTTTTCTTAATTATTTGGGGTTTTTCTTATAGATAAAATAATTAAATGAATTAACCACGTGGCACAAATTTAAATTTTAAGTCAGAAAAATATGAGATTAGTGGTTGTCATATTATGATTTAACCGCTAATTTAATAAATTAACTAGCTGTGATATGAAATTGAACAAAATAATAAGTAAATATATGAGATTAAAATATTTTTGGATAAATTAGAATTAAATGCCACATTTTAGATTTTTTCAAATTAAACATCGGTTACTTTTCAACTTTTAATTAAAGTGTTTTTGCTTTTAATTAAAATGTATATTCCAGGTATATTCTTAATTTAAGTATTTTATAATTTCTTTTAAATCCATTTCTATGTAAAAAAAAAAAAATGCACTCAATAATATTCATTAATTTATTGCTATTTTTATGGAATCTCATCCCGTCCTCAATTTAGGATTCAATTATATCTACTGGGGTTTAATATTAATTGGATGAAATATAGTTTTTCCAATTTCCAACTCAACATTTTATATAGATTATAAAAAAACAAGAGTTCATTTATAATTAAAATTGAGATGTAGACTAGACTGCCTAATTTCATGCAACTGAAAATAAATTTGAATTTTTTTAACAACTACTCATAGTAGAAACGTGAACTAAGAGATTTCACATTTTTATTTAAAATGAGTCCTTATTCCAATAATTAATTATTAAGAGTTGACAAAATATTTTTTTAGTGCAATGTTTTAATGTGAAAAGTTATCTTTTTTTTTTTGGATTACACAACTTACACATAACGTACTATAATAAGGATAATACAATGTACTAATAACTTGGTACGTACTAAATAAAGAATTGCATAACGTACCAAAAGCAATATTTTATAACATACCAAAATACTAATACGTACCCAGATTAAATTTATATAACGTACCAATGACGTACCAAATGATTGGTACGTTATATTTAATATATCTGTTTGGTACGTTATATTTAACATATTTGCATGTTATATTTCATAATTGTATGTTAATAGGATGTTTATGTGTTTTTAGAATTTAAAACAACAAATTATTTGAATAAGAAAAATTCATTTTGAACGAATTATGATAAGATAAGATAGGATGTTTGTGGTGATTTTAAAATATTTGTGATATTATTTTATGAACTAGTTGGTTAATTAAATACAATAAAAATCATAATTTTTAATTAAAAAAATTAGTAGAAGAATGTTTGATCAAAAGTTTAAAAGTTATAGATGTTTGATTAAAAAAATTCAAATTTGAGGCATCTATATCAAAAATGCCCCAATATTTTTAAAATGTTATATAAGATTGGAATTGCACTAAAACATAAGGAGATAAAACATAATTTACTCTAATTTTAATTTTGCAAAGCTGCAATTGTAAACTTTTTTTTTTTTCAATTAAACACAAAAGAAAATGAAACATGAACTTGTTTCATTTTAAAAATCTAAGGGGGTGTATTCAATTGGGATTTTGAGAGATTTTAATTATTTGAATGAATCTAGGGGTATTCAATCAGGATTTTAAATGATTTTCTGAAATTTAAAGTGTATTCAATCAGAATTTTAAGATAATTTATTAAAATTTTTAGAAATTTGGGTGTATTCAATTAAGATTTTAAAGAAGTTTATAACATTTCAGGTGTATTCAATTAGAATTTGATTTTAAAGAATTTGAAAAAAGTTGAGGAATTTGAGGGAATTTGAGAAATTTCATAATGTATTTTAAGTATCCATAAATCTCATATTTTCTTATAAGATTTCGAGAAAATTGAATAAAAATTTTACATAAAATTTCTACAAACTAATTAAGCTTCTTAAAATTTTATAAATCTATTGAAATCTCTCAAATTTTTCATAGAATACACCCCTATAATTTTAAAATGGTTATGCACGGGATGAAGAGGTCATCCATCTTCTTCTTTTTTTTTTTTTCTTTTTTTCATATATTTTTAATTGATTGGACAATTTTTAAAATGCCAGTCGAATTTTTAATATTTTTTTAATTTCTTATCAAAGGACTGGCATGTGAAATTGACGTGAGGGGGTAGGGATATATATATTTTTACGAGCAAGCTTGAAAGCGCATATGAAGCACGTTGATACAAATTAGAGTAAATTGTAGCAATTGTTTCTCAACTTTAATCAAATTAGGACAAAGGTTCCTCAACTAAAAATCCATTACCATGGGTCTTTCAACTTATCAAAATATGTAGCAATGGTCATTTTCATTAATTTCGTCAAAATTTTGTCAAAATAAGTTATGTTGGAATGACCATTTATACAATTAGGGTCTCTCAACTCATCAAAATGTGTAATCATGGTCCGTCAACTACGTCAAAAATTTTGTCAAAACGAGTTATGTTAAAAGGATCATTACTACAATTGGATTAAAATTAAGGGACAATTTCTCTAGTTGAATTAAAGTTGAGGGACCAATAGTAATGAATTTTTAATTGAGGGACCATAACTGCACATTTTGATGAGTTGAAGTACCAATGGTAATGAATTTTTAGTTAAAAGACTGGTACTCCAATTGAATTAAAATTAAAGGACCATAACTACAATTTACCTTACAAATTATACGTTGGAATAAAAAACAATTCAGAGACAGTGTGATAAAAACGCAAGGATGAAATCTGAACGTGTTGCTTCAGTTGTGCCACATACAAAACTGTCCTATTTAAACCTTGTGTACTTTTAACAAAATAATATTATATCATGACTCATGACACTCAAAGAAGTTAGGTGGGACTTGTGGTAGACAATGCTTCAACTGTTTATTGATTATAAAACATTTTTTTATTAATAAAAATAAAAATAGGTTTTTTTTTAATTATATATTAGACGATCCATCAAGCTTTACACCATCCATCCCCCAACAGCAATGGCAGACGCAAATAAATCAATCAAATTAGTTGAAATTTGCCGAATTGCTCCACAACATGCAGATCAAGAGTTCTCGCTTCCTCTAACTTTCTTCGACATAATTTGGTTAAAGTTTCCACCCATCCAACGCCTTTACTTCTACGAAATAGTGTCTTCCTCAAAAAACACATTCTTCTTCGATTCTATACTTCCAAAGCTCAAAACCGCGTTATCTCTTACCCTCCATCACTTTCCACCTTTAGCAGGAAACATCACTTGGCCCCAAGACTCCCCTATACCAATCCTCAGTTACCTCCGAGGGGACGCCGTTTCGGTCACTGTAGCCGAGTCCGATGCTGATTTCCACCACCTAGTTTCAAGCAATAGCTTTAACATTGAAGCCAAAGAATACCATCCTCTCGTGCCCCAGTTGGACGCTTGTCACGAAAAAGCCGCAGCACTTGCATTGCAAATTACTCTCTTCCCAAACAACGGCTTTTCTATTGGAACATCCGTGCACCATGCTGCCCTAGACGGCAAGATGTCAACCATGTTTGTGAAATCATGGGCTTACATATGTAAACACGAATCCGATTTGGTACCAGACCAGCTCAAACCATTTTACGACCGAAGGGTCATCCCTGACCCGACAAGGATCGACTTAATTTATTCGAACCACTTTCTAAATATCGATTTGGAGCGACCCAACAATCGTAGCTTGATGCCTTTCCAATTTGAAGCTCCACAACCAGCCTCGGTTCGAGGGTGCTTCCAATTCACACCGACCAAAATTGAAGCAATAAGGCAGTTGGTGAAAGCGAAGAAACAACAACATCAATCGGTTCCTTTGTCCAAATTTTGCGTCACAATTGCTTATGCATGGATTTGCTTGGTCAAGGCAGAGGAAATAAAATCCAAAAAAATACGATTGATTTTTGGTGTGGATTGTAGGTCTCGATTGGATGCACAAATATCTGCAAACTATTTTGGAAATTGCATAGCCCCACGCATAGCAGTTGCAGAAAGCGAAGGCGTATTTGGAGAAGACGGGCTGGTTGTGGCTGTAAATGCAATCAGTGAAGCCCTAGAAGGTTTAGATAATCGGCTTCTGAATGGAGCGGAGGCTTGGATGGAAATTATGCAACCACAGGCCGATAAACTTTTTTCTGTTGCCGGTTCACAGCTGTTTAGGGTTTATGATACTGATTTTGGATGGGGAAGGCCAAGGAAGGTCGAAGTCGTTTCGATTGATAGGAGTGGGGCTATCTCTTTCTCAGATAGCAAAGATGGCGATGGTAGTATTGAGATTGGGGTTGTTTTGAAAAAACAATGTATGGAGGTTTTTGCTTCTCTATTTGCTAAAGGGATCTAAGACCTTTGAAGCCGTGTTTTTGAAGTACTTAAAATTTATATTCTATTTTTGTTATTTAATGTGTATTTTTATTTAATGTCTTCACAATAAAATTTTAATTTTATTAATATGCACATATTAGTTCTTTCAAAATTATAAATGAATATAAATGAGAAAATATTAAAAGAAATGGCAATTGTTATTAGCACTCTAAAAATTTCATTCTACACTCTAAACTTTCTATATTAGGAAAGAAAAATACATATGTGAGGAGTATAGAATAAAATTTTTGGAGTGCTAATAACATTTCCCAAAGAAATTAGTGACACATAAATATGTAAATACATAAGTGTATATGGCTGTACCGAAATATATTATAATGAGCCTAAATGTATATACCGGAATGTATTATATTTAATTAATGTAACTAAATGTTAATATCGAAATGTATGTACCAAAAAGAACGAAATAAAACATCAAAATATAAATAATAAATAAGATGATTAATGTATTAGGGACTAAAATTAGATTTTAATCTTACACAATGTTAAAATCTAAAAGTCTTTTTTTTTTAAGGATTAAAATGAAATTTTCTATTTTTGAAACTATGCTGCCGAAGATCGGTTAATACCCTTATCCTGGAAAAAACGAAAGCCACAAACGGTCGCTTTAGGGGGTGTAGTTTGTGGAGCCAAAAATAATCACAAGGCGACACGTGGATTTTTGGTAAAAATAACAAAATTACCCTCGAGGCACACCAAATTTCCTACGCGCGAGCAGTGGACAATCATTCTTCAATCAAGCCAAAAGTGCCCAAAATATGTAACAAATTCAAAATTATTTCATCCATCCTCATCCTATATTCTCCATAAGGTATTTATTCCATAACCTTCAAAACATTCCATATGAATTGAGTTAATTGGCTAATTAATGGATTTATTACCTAATTAATCCATTAATTGCCAATTAAATCACCCATCTTATGCAAAAATACCTCAAAGGGACCGGCCATACCCTATATATATCACCCCATTTTCTCTAAAAAGAGGAGCTCCACACTCTTGCAAAACTCCTAAAAAACTCTCCAAACACCTTTCTTTCTAAATTCTAACTTTGGCATCGGAGGTTCTTCGGCCAAAGCCCCCCCATTCATCGTGGGCGCGTGAGGCTCTTGGCCTTGACCTAAGGTGTTATTTGTTTTGTAGGTGCAATTTTGTCCAAGAACAAAGAGGAAGAAATTTGCATCCACATCACAAATTGGTGCTTTCATTGAGAGCCGAGTCCTATATTCGTAGAAGACTCTTGTCCATTTGTAGATTTTTCGAACATTCTTATTATTAGAATTTTTTATTTGTAAAATTTTTTTGATAAAACGTAAATGAGAAGTACAATGACTAGAAATTTAGAAAATTCAACAAATAAAAATTTCAACATCCAAGAGATGGGACCACGGCGATCCATGAGGCTAAATGTGACAATAGGTGGAGCGGCACCACCACCACGAGTTTCCACCATGAGAACCACCATGGTGGCTACCACGGTAGCTATCCGTGGTGAGGTCTGTAGTGTCACCACCACGGCCCGAGCCGTGCCATCCAAGGTGGCTCATGGCACTAAGGCCACGGCCTAAGCCATGTCACTCTACGCCCAACGTGTTGCCAAGCAGAGCCCAAGCCTTACACCCATGTGCATCACACGCCGAGTAGCCCATTCTCGTGGCCTGTTGCTAAAATTAGATTAATCAAAATCAACCTAATTAAGTCCGAAATTTTAATGCTCGCAAGTGTACGAATCGTAGTATAATATAGTAGGCAAGCACAAGATCGTTCCAACTAAGATTGAATGTAATTCTAACTATTTAACTAAATTTAAGTTTCATTTGAATTGGAAAAGAAAAATTGATGATTTGAATGAGAATTTTGAAATGGTGATGTAAATAAAATGAAATGAACTTAGCTAAGTGATGACAACTACAAAGTAAACAAATTATAATTCAATTGTGAAAAACACTAGAGCATCCGATTCACCATAACCAATCCTACTTAATTCCAACAGTTAATTCTCAACAAATAAACATCCAACTTGACGGTCTAGTTCCTCTAATTCATATAGTATCCATGGCATCTAGATTACTACGTATATTCATATGTGCTAATAATCTATGGCATCTAGACTACTAAACACACACAAGTTCATTTACAGTTTGGGAACTAACTAAAAAAACCGCATGAAACCTAGTGTATGGCATCTACAACAAGGAATTCATGGTACCACTTGCAAGACGCTAAAACCGAATTAACAACATGGCATATGCGTTAACTCGCATCACATATACTCAATTCAAACCCAAGTGGTAGCCAATCACAAGAATCAAAATCAAGCTCATAAGCACAACAAAATGATACTCAAAGTGAATGAATATTCATAACTAATTAAACTGAAAAATTAAGAATTCATAGTTAGGCTACATCGTAGCCCTAGCAAATGAAATTAGTTCCAACACATAATCGAAATTGGAACCGAATCCATCATAAAATAAGAAGAAAATTTAGTTTAGAAAAGGCCTGAAAAATAATCCCCCTGCTTGTCCGCACCTCTCTTCGTCGTCCCCTTTCCTCCGCCTACTTTTCCTTCTTTTTTTTGTTTTCTTTTCCCCTTTTACGTTTCTGTAACCGAAGAAAACCTTAACCCCAATTGATTGCTGATAGTAAACAAAGAAACGGTAGAAATCTTCAATTATGTTTGCTGGCCACTCTTTGGTACATTAAAGCACCCAAATGAATTCTGACAAACTTGTACCCTTGATCTCCTTGCTGTTGTTTTACCCCTTGATTTCAATAACTCAGCAAATCCAATTAAAACATCAACAGCCAAATCTCTCTTTAATGCCTTCACGCCAAAACCCCAATGCTCCAGATTCATCTTCTTGTAGAGATCCACCGATTGAAACTTTGGTGATTTTCTTTTCTTTTTTCTTGAAATGGAATTGGTCGGCTACCCTTGTAGAATGCCAAGAGGTGAATGCAACCTTTTCTTTCTTTTGGAACAGAAAACAATAAAAACTCTTTCCCATGGAATTGGTAAGAAGCCACGCGCAAGTGAACGGTCTAGTTGACTAGTCAACGTCCTTTTAGACTTGTAAAACAATATGATCCCTACAGAAAAATTCAACCAAATAAGCTGTTGCCTAATTTCTAAAGGAAAGATGCATAAGATTTGGATGAGCCAAAAATGTAATTAATAATTTCCCAACTTGTGAATATCATTTAAGACCAATTTTGACTTAAGAAAAAAATATATAAAGCAAGCACATTTCAACTCAATCCACTTACTCAACAAAACCAAATTCCAACTACTTTATTTGAATTGAACTTAAAAGGATTGAATTCATATTTTTCTCAAAACCATGTAATTTCATTCATTTAGAACAAACATGACACAAGAAAATGTAGCTTTTGGAGTAACATAAATAGTAAAATATGCGCTCATCAAATACCCCCAAACTTACATTTTGCTTGTCCTCGAGCAAAAGAAAGAGATACATGAAAATTAGTAGCATAAAAAAAAAAAAAACGTTAACTTCCCCCTATGTGACCCTCAAAGAATCTTTTGCAAGATGCATCATAATTAAGTTCGTAATAAGCACAAAGCAAATGAATCAACCACATTCCAATTCTTAGCAAAAACCTTTCAATCATCCTTGAAGTGTAGTGTGTGGATTAACCATGCCAATGCAATTCCAAGCTTCTTAAAATCATCATATGCAAACAAGTGACATCCTCACCGGGCATACACTCATTCACTCATATTTCTGGGTAATGTGTTTCACTCAAGTGATTTCAATCAAACATGCCGCCATATGCTTGCTTGTCAACCTACCTCGCTATTAACATCATGTAATTACTTGGATCTATAGGACTTTAATTTGGTTGCAATGGGGTTAAGGGTGATAGGCTAATGAAAGAAAGGATATGGAAACCAAAAGTTTTGAGAAAGAACACATTAGCAGTTTTCCAACACCAATATCACACCCACTCAAATTGAAAGCAAACAACATAACCCGTAGCAATTGCTACTCCCCCACATTTTCAACATCTCAGCAAAATTTTTTTTTTTTTTTTTTTTTTTTTGAATGAATATTCATGACAGTACCCTGCAGATTTTTAACCCTTTCCCTTCTCTTTTTAATCATACTCAAATCTGCAGAGCTTCATCATCCCTCAAATTCACATTTCATTGTAATACACATATTTCATCCATTTTTTTTTTTCTATATAAATAAAACCCCAAAAGCACGACCTATGTAATACTTTCTCAAAACAATAAGGGATCGATTTCTGTGTATGGGCTCAACTCCAATATCGGAGCATGGTAAAGAGATGTGTCTAACAAAGAAATGGCTAAGTTAAAAGCTCAACGGGCTACTAAGGATGAACATAGCATATAAGGTAGGCATGAAAGGCTCAAACGACCCAAAGAAGGCCTATATCACTTCCAAGTTATTACATGAATTGATGAATAAATCAAGAGGTATAAAGCAAGTTCTAGAGATACATGTAAGAATGATATCAAATGCACAAGAATAAATGTGATTGCTGCATGATAGTTCAACCACAAAATAGGCTCAAAAGCTCACAAGGATTACATGAAGTCACTATATTCACATATGAAGTGTTAAACCATGCTTTAGTTTCACATCAACAAGGCAAAGTGCATTCAGTTTTCCAAAAATGATCGAACGTGTATAAAGCTAACAAAATGAATAAAGAGATTCATCTAAAACATGCTTACGACTTTCTCAATACTCATAGTTCAAATTCAATTCAATTTCATCATTGGGTCGGGAAGCTAACGAAAATCTAACTGAAAATAAGAAATAAAAACAAAGTTTCTGATTTTTATAGAATTTTAATTTTTTTTTTTTTTTTTTTTTTATAAAAAAAAACTAACTTAAAGTAAATAATTAAAAAGAGAGGATCCAGCCAATTAAAAGCAACATGCTTATTACAAATGAGACAGTCAGACTAAACAAATTCTCTTCATCCAGGGCTTTAAAATCTCACTCCTACCCCCTAAACTTAGATGAGACATTGTCCTCAATGTCAAGAAATAAAGCACGTAAACAGAA